AGTTATCAAAATTTACTGAAAATCGACATTTCGTTAAGATGTGATTTTGATGTTTTATCTATAATATATATATTAAATGCGAACTCTTGCAGTAATATCTGATCATGTCAGCATCTAGTTTGATTACTTCACAGTAGATGGCAATCATTGCAAATTCTACATTGTTCATGTAACAAAATGCTATTGCTGGTTACTTAGATAGTAAAATCTATGTGACCGATATTATATCAGTACAATTTAGTCTAACATAAACTATGCCATAGTATGTAAAGACTACATATTTGATGATGAGTAACCCACTTTGAGACATTAAAGCTTGACTAGATAACAGAAGAAAACGTTATTATAAATTTAACATAGTAACAAATGTACAACGTCTCGACAATGTTTTGTATAATCAAAATAAAACAACCATATATATGGTATCGCTACTCATTCTGTCGTATTGGTGTGAGAGTTTAAAATGCTATAACATATTTATGCTTTGAAACACCTCGCCTAGAGTGCCACTAGTTTCATGTGCCGATACAAAGATAGATTAATCAATGTATTTTGATGCTCTACATTAACGATCTAAAGATCGATCAACCGGTATATTTTGTTCTCCAACATTAATCAATTCATTTAGTGGAACCCATATTAACAGGAAATACTTCGTGATTTCCGTAAGGTGGCGTGAAAATATCTGAAATGGAAGAAGGAATTATTGTATTTATCCTAAAATAACGCCCTCTGGTCTTGAAACTATTCTTATTTTTACCTAAGATAAAACGTTTGTCGTTAATACTTCAGAATAACAAGAATTCTGAATATTTTAGGTTTTTACTTGTAATTAATTTTTTAATATAACCTTTTTCATTGATTTTAAGCTTCCCATATATCTTATTGCAGATTCTTTCTTTACAGATATTGATACTAAAACTGTTATCCAGTCAACATATAAAGCTTATTCTTAAAAGTACTGCATTTCAAATTTAAGAAATTTAAAAATACATATAGGTAGGCGACTCCAATTAGAGTCATGATTCACTCCACACTTTGGGACGTTGGTTGAGTTACAAGAGTTGACCACTAAATCCCACTATTCGATAAGAAAAAGACTTTCTCAAGAGTAATCGATGGTCATTGTTGACTAACTGCCTTCCCTCTAGTCTATCAATTGAACTCAGGGATTGCTATGTGCAGATAGCCTTGGTATAGCTTTGCACGAAGTTCTGAAACAAGCAAACAAGCACAGCTTAAAGAAATATGTCAAAAGTTTTGAAAAATCAAGAGAGAGAAATAGCCAAAAATTTAGAACAATACATAAAAATTCGTATATTGTGATAAAATCTCTCTCTGTCTGTCTTTTCTTCGTCTTCAGAAAATTTAAGAACCTGACATTAGTGAAAATATAGATTTGACTGCAAAATTGTGCTTTGGTTTCCCGAAGCGGAAATATAGATTTGACTGCAAAATTGTGCTTTGGTTTCCCGAAGGATGAAAGTGAGAGAAAGATGTATTAATCTATTTATTATGATTTAGAAACTTTTCTGTAGTATCGATTTTACTAAGTTAAAAAAACGCGAGCGAATTTTGATGAGAACTTATTTATTGAGAGAAAGAAGACAGGAAGAGCCTTAGTTTATGAACACGCAATATTTTAACATCGAGAGGATCAAAGACTTTCGGAAGTTTTGCATTATAATAAGAAAACGTAAAACAATTGTTTAAAATGTAAGACGAAAATCGCAGATCTTTGTCTTGACCATAAAATAAAATGCGTCTGTATGATTTGAATTAATCTTTAAACATAAAACTCAATAAAAAAACAACAACATATGCTTTAATTGTTTAATTATAAGTTTAAGTATGTTGTTATAAATGGAGTTTTGGAAAATTTGTGTAGATTTAAAGATAAATGATATTATTTTGTATTAATCAGAGTTATCCCCCAGATGGCTCAGTGTTAAGCTCAAGGCCTTATAACGCAAAATACGGGGCTCGATACCCCTAGTGAGCAAAGCCGAGATAGCAGATCACGTAGCTTTGTACTTAAAACAAACAAACGAAGAATCTAAGTTATATATATATATATATATGAGTGAAAAAGAGAGAGCAAAAAAATTGTGTTAGAGGATTAGCTTCCCAGACTATAGACTCGTGGTTCGTACACCATTAAAGCAAATAATAAATAAATAAAGGCGCTTCGCACATTGGGGCCGAAGGCGCGTTATGAGAGTGACGGTCAAATCCAACTATTCGATAAATTGGTGGTGGGTAGCGTTGACTAGCTGCATTCCTTCTAATCTATCACTTAGGAATGGCTAGTACAGATAACCCTCATATAACCTTGCGCGAAAATTCAACAAACAATAATGTCAGCATCACTCCTTACATATAGCTTAATTTAAGCTAAAAAGAAATTTTTCATATTCCTAACATTTAGGAAAATGTAATCTTTCAATTTAAGTTGGCATATGACATGGTTTGAATGAATTATAGCAATCACGACAATGTCTTAAAGCGCTCGTGAGGCTTCTTGCTTTATACACCGTATGATCCAACGATTCAAACTGCTAGTACTGGAGATTACTCCATGCAGAAGCTACAAATCAAAATAAATAAATTAAATTTAACTATATAATGGTTATACGTATATTAAGTCACAATGTGTCACTATTTGAAATATAAGGAAACTTATTAACTATTTACGCATGCAGTGGAAATAGAGATTAATTTACCGTCAACAAATAATGTTAATAATGAGGAAGAACGTCCAATTTCCCTGCAAATTGTTTGTACTTTACGCAATAAGATTCAACATTAAAATTGTGTAACATCGTTTGTATTCAGAAGTTTAGCAAACCTCGAGCAATATAATCTAAAGGTGTTGGTTGACGTCAAATCTAGGCTCACAGTAAAATATATTGAATTGTGTATTTATTTGAACTTTGCTACCACTTAACAGATGCTAAGTCAATAAAATGCTTTGTGAAATAATTGGCTTCGTGTCTCTTTACTTACGTAGCAGCTATACAGAGCGTCCATAAATTATTCAACCATTTTCTTAGCTGAGTAGAATATGAACCACACCAGATAAACAGTTGCGGTTCACTGTATTTAAGAAACTGATGTCTAACGTTTAAATGGAATAATGTGAAGGATATTGTCTTTAAGACGAAGGTACCAAATATGACAAATTTTCATGCCCGAATAACCAACGCAATTCCAACTATTTCTCCAGAGTTACTGGCACATACGTGGGCGAAGATCAATTACAACTTGTGCATCCTTCGAACCACAAACGGTGCTTATGTTGAGGTGTAATAACAGCACCACTGGCCATAGAATAACCTGAGATATTAGCCTCCATTATGCTGCAAACTGTAACTGCTTATACTGTGTAGACCTCATTTATTCGATCAAAAAACCAACCAGTTTGCCAATTCGAATTATATATGAAGCTATTTTTTAAACGAGTTTATCAACACTTTGATTTCCTTACACGAGAAAAGCTAGGAATATTTTATAGCTCTTCTTTAAACAGATAGTATAGTATCAGTATAAAATGAATAATTGAAAACTATTTAACTATTTTCTTATTTATTAGGTCAGTGGTTTTCAACCTTTTCTTTGCAAAGGAACCATGCAAGTAGCTGGTAATATTCTCCGTAACCTCATCCTTTCTATCCATTATTTCCCCTTTGCGAGTTACAGTATTTCGCGGAACCCCGGTTGAAAAACACTGTACTGGATAGTACAAGACATTCGATTTTATTTTTTCGTAGTTGATAAATAATGTGATAACTGTCGAATATTTTAAGTAAGAAAAGAAATCTTGCCAATTCATTTACAGAATGATGAAAATGAAGAGTGTTTAACCTGATTAGTAACTGTGAGTACAACACAAATTAATTACATTGTTAATCCTGTTGGATTAACCAGTAGCAGTGAAAATGTAACTTACAATGAACTATCTATTACAGGATTATCAGTAACAAAATAGGATACTAAACTTTTCTACAACAGTTTGATAAAAGGGAAAGAAAATAGAATTTTTAATAAAAGAAAACAGTGTTTTCGAAGACTATTGATCTAAATTACATAAATGCATATGGAAAAAAATATACAGAATTTTTGTCGAAATATGAGACGAAGGTATACAGTCGAGACTGTACATGAAGTGATTAAATGTGACTGAAAATGAATCGTGACCGAACTGCAGTATAACGATTGGTAACAACTGGCATACGTATGTTAGTTGTGTTGCAAATGAGCTGTCATTAAATATGCTTTTTGAAATAATGTTAAACTATTTAAAAAAATAACATGTGAATCGTATGATCATTGGTATTTACACTCGTATAAGAATGTATTATATTATATTTCCACGTTTTCCGTGTTGAAGATTAGGTCTCTACGCGAACATAAGCTTATTGTAATAGAATAATTTCTGTATTATGAGGAATAATATCATTTTTAAGTACACGGTTATTGAATCTGTAATACAACCTCTAACATTCTGTACAGCAATAACTGTCATAAAAAAAGAAAGATAACACTAAATATAATTTTGAAACTATTAATAGAAACAACTTAAATTAATTTACATATTTTTCACTTAACCTTTTAAATAAATAGAATAAATTTCTCCTTCTATTTACAATGTTTTTTTTTTTTTTTTTTACTAAATAAGATATTCCCTGATTTTCTCTATTTGATGTATTAAACTTGTTATGCTGTCAGTATATTTCAAAGCCACCTCTAACTTCTTAGACAATTCTCCAACCTTATTTTCAAAATTTAAAAATCTTGATTTTGATAATGGACCTTCAGAAATTTCATCGTCAGTCTCTATTTTATTCGCCAATCTCTATCTTTTCTTTGAATCGGTCATGCCAGTTAATGCTTTTCGATTATTTTGGTCTGAGTTATTTCTCGCTGTTCTTATAATATTTTCTTGTTCAGTCGTGTCAGTTAAATCTTATCAGTTGTGTTGTTCTGAATTATAAATTTTCTCATTGAAATTCTTTGGTTATATTTATACCAGCTTCTTCTTTAGCCGTATCAACTGATTCTATACTGTCCTTTTCTGGGTTGGTACTAACAACTGCTTTTCCGTTTTCCACTGGAGATTTAATAAAAAAAAATATGTTTTCTTATTTTTGACATTTTTATATTTGTGTATATAATGTCGCAACATCACTATGGCTTGAGCTATACTGACTAACTCTGTTGTTATCAGGTATTTTCAACAAGGAATATCTTTTTATTACGTCTTCATTATTGTATATATTGTCACCACATCACTATGGTCCAAGTTATACTGACCAACTCTGTTGTTATCAGATATTGTCAACTGGAAATCTCTTTTTTTTATTACGTTTTCGTCATTTAAATTAAATGTTTCTGATTCTTTATGTTATCTTAACCGGGAGAAATATTTCTTTGCGTGCCCGTAACCCTTAAACTTATAACATTGCATTGATAAAGTAACATGGAAAGTATAATGATAACCTTCTGAAAAATAATTCAATTGACTTGGAAGTTTACTCGACTCATTAACATCTATCAGTTCGATGCACACTTTTCGTCTAAAACTTGTAACATGTTTAAATTCTGGATATTGTGATGTCATAAGTAATGTGCGAATAAGACCGACTACCTATGCAAATTTTGAACACAACCATCACGTAACTTCATGACTTATTTCGGGTTGCATTAGAAATAACACCTTTCGTTGAAGTTTAAACTGCTGGTTTTTAATGTCTATACCTGTTTCAGTTAGTTCCATCGCATATGAACGGTCATGAAAATACACATGAAATCCACCAAATACACATGAGCTTGACATAATCTGTTCTGGCAAAATACTTATTTGATTTTTTCGTCGTACGGATTACGATGTTATGTTTTCTTATAAGAAGGTTTTCTTTGGCAACATGTTTCATATGTAAAGTTCCATTTTGATGTATCTACCACTTGAGCACAGCTTAACCCTACAATGGGAGGGTGAGCCATTTGGTTAAATACATAAGACAACTGTCTTGTTTATGTCCAGAATATTTTTGAAATTATCTCTTGGTGTACCTTTACTTCCTGTCTTTCTGTCGAGAAATATTGTTATTAAGATTAAATAATTCTCGTTTTCAAAAGAGTTAAATTATATATGAAAATCAATGTGATCAAATATAAAGCTTCTTTTAACAAGGAACTACAGTGTGATACAGTAATAGACAAATTTCAAACAACAAACTTTATTCTTCAATAAAAAGAACCAAAATCAGTGGATTCTTAATGACTACTTTAAGCATTATACCAATCGTGTTTCGCGGAAAAAGTTAATGTCAGCCACAAAAGTTTTGTGATGTCAGAAACACAATAATTAAAACTCAAAAAGAGGACAAGAAATAAAGTTAAAAGTATTTTGCAATGCTGGTGGCTAGGTATGAAATTTCAAATGTAAACAAAATATTTAAGTGTAAGAAGACACTAGTTCTCAAACACGAAAAATACAGAAACTCAAATTCCTAAAACACATTAATAACACATTATCATTACTTCAATAGAGATAATAAAGTTAGGAAATCAAATTAATAAAAATAATCCTTATTTCACCAGAGAACTTAACTAAGTAAACTTATTAATATCATTAAACTAATGACATATTGAATGATAATACTGTTTTCAAAGTATTAATAAGGTTGTTTGACGACCGATATGTGTCTATGTATGTGTTTTGTTATAGCAAAGCTACATCGAGCTCTCTGCTGTGTCTACCGAGGGAAATGAAACTGCTGATTTTAGTGTTATGAACCCGAAGACATACCGCTGTCCCACCGTTTCAAAGGCAAATTAATAATGAACCTTTGTCTTTTTTCATCAAAAATATAACAAGTGACTTTTCAGACCATAATTCAAACGTTTTCACAGAATATTAATAACTAACGTTGATAAATCAAATGATTATAAAGGAAAAATATTGAAAGATTATGACTTAATTTTAGTTCACCAGCCATGCTACACGCTACCTCAGAGAAGAAGTGTTAATTCACAAGAGTTGCTACATGTTTTCTCTAATGACAAGGTTAATTCACCAGTTATATAACCCTATCGCGAGGGTTCACGTGTCAAAGGCCATGTCAACGCGTTTGTTGCATTAAAAATTTTAGTGAACTACTATTTTATGAATTTATGTTAGTAAGTTTGGTATCAAATTGTAGATTATAATTTTAATATTATACGTTAGATAATTTCTTAACTTAAAAGTAAATATTAAAAAAACACATCGATATATGTGTGTCACGCGGTTTGTTTGTTTGTTTGTTTG